CTTACGCTATGCTTAGATATACTTGTTAAACCAATTTTTATTATGCTATGTTATACGCGGTATTATTATCTTATATTTTTACGTGAGATTATATTATGTCATGTAGTTATAACGTAACGATGTGCAAATTTATTAAAGTTGTAAAAATATATATATATATATATATATATATATATATATATATATATATATATATATATATATATATATATATATATATATATTTATATATAAATTTTTATTTAAAAGTTGCGACCAAATAAATTAAGTACTTATTTACAAAAATGTTTATGAATAAGTTTTAATCCATAATTTTTAAGAAAGCTTAAATTTTAACTTTGAAAAGTTTGTTAAAAATGGTTTTTTAATCTTTTTAAATTTACTTTTTTTTGTATTAATAAGGATTACGCAAAAGAATTTTGATATACACATAAAAAAAAGTGAAAAAATTGCAATTAGCGAAAAAAAATAACAAAATAAATAATCAGTTGAATTTGTAAAAACAAAACTTAAATTTTACAAAGATATTCATGCACGCAAGTATTGTTAAAAATTTACCATTTATGAAGTAACATTAACTTATTAAAATGCTAGTGCCAATAAATAAAGCATTACTCTATAAGATATATCTTAACTTTTGATTTAATTGTTTATTTTAATTTGAATCTAAATAAATATGTTGATTGAATTGTTAAAAATAAACTCGTGCTTTTTACAGCTCTTTTTGGTTGCATGACCTCTTTTAAAAACTTTTCACACTCTTAAAAATAGTACAATATAAATAGTTGCATGTTTCTGTAAAAGCAAGTCTTTTTATAGACAAAGAAACATCTTGAAAGTTAATAAACTCCAACTTCTGAAATTTTTTTTTTTTTTTTTTTTTTTTGTAAATTTATTTGCCGTCAATAAAAGAAAATTAAAATTACAGAATAGCTTTATTACAAATATAATCGGCAGGACTTTCAGAAGATCATATGATCTTATCATGAAGCCCTTTACAATATCAAATATAATAATAATAACAATAAACTCAAATTAAGCAATAAAAATCAACATAAAGTTTTATAACCTTTTCCCTTTTTAGTATTGTATTTTCAATGAAAAGGTTGGGCAGTGTATTTGGTAAAAATTTTTTCTGGATGTTGGGTAAAAAAGTGTCCATTTTGTTATATCAATATTGAGGGACAATTTGTTTTTCTTAAACCAATATGGGATTTTATTTAATTCTTGTGTCATATTATCAAAAAGTGTATTTATGTTTTCATGAGAATGGAATAGGTTTGTGTCATCAGCAAAAATTATAGTGGTTAAGTTAGAGGCTTTGTTGAGGTCATTTATATATATTATAAATATATTAGGAGCCCAATTATGGATCCCTGTGGGACACCACATGTTACATTCATTAATAAAGGCAAAGAAAAGTTTTGGATAATAACAAACTGCTTTCTATTACTCAGATAGCTTTTGCACCAGCTTAGGGATTTATCTTTAATTCCATAGAGTTCTAATTTTTTTAATAGAATGTCGTGATCGACAATATCAAAAGCTTTAGACAAATCGATGAATACTCCTAGGGTATAATGAGAATTTTTAAAAGAATCAGAAATGCTGCGTGTTAGTTAAAGTATAGCGTGTTCGGTAGAATAGTTTCTCTGGAAGCCGAATTGATTATTATATAAAAGTTTAGTATCAACAAAATAATTGTAGACTCGTTTGATTGTTATACATTATTTTTTCTAGTATTTTAGAGAAAACCGGAAGAACTGAAATAGGACGATAATTTGTAATGTTACAATGGTCCCCTGATTTATAAATAGGAGTAATTTTTGCTACTTTCAGAGAGTCTGGAAAGGATCCTTGAGCAATAGAAGCTTTACAAATTTTAAAGAGTATATCTTTCAAAACGTCAAAGGAGTCTATTATAATATTTCCATTGATGCAATCAGCCTCGATTGATGCAATCAGCCTCGATTGCCTTATTCCATTTTAATGATTTAAACGCTGCTTCAAATTGAAAATTGATTAGGTTTGAAAATTTTAAAGTTAAATTAGGTGATGTTATAAACTCGTTAATTGATTTGCCATAAAGATAAGGAATTTTATTTGATAAGCTTGTTCCGATTGAAGAGAAAAATTTATTAAATTCAAAAGCAATTTCATTAGGGTCATTAAATAATTTGTTTTTAATTTTTATTCCATTAGGTAATATTGTACTTTTTTTTATTTTTTCCCATGATCTCTTTCATTAGTTGCCAAATACGCTTTGAATTATGTTTATGCTTTGCAAACAAGTTTTTACATTTTTGCAGAGTTTTTCGAAATAATTTTTATAAATTAAGTAGTTATTTTTATGATTGTCTGATTTATATTTTAGATATTTAATATACAGTTTTTGTTTCACTTTTCAATTTAATATACAGTTTTTGTTTCACTTTCGATTTTTTAAGTCCTTTAGTTATCCAAGGACATGATACGTCCTTGGCGTTAAGGATTATTTCACGAATAGGAAAGTTTGCGTCATAAATGGATTTAAATGTTTTAAAAAAAGAATCGTAGATCAGGTTTATATCATCATTGAAGTTAATATTGCTCCAGTTTTGATTCGAAATTTGTTCCTTAAAAGATTTTAAATTATTGTTATTGTATACACGTTTTTTTATAGTTGTTTTACTCAGAAGATTTTATAGTTTGCATGAAATAAACATCACTAATGCTACACTGATATAAAGTTTATGCTTATGCTTTTTTACAGATAACTATTAAGACTTTGTTTTAACCCTCGCACTGCTTGAACTGAAAGTTCAAGTCAACTGAAAGTTTACAGTCCTTCAGCTGAAATATGAAAGTTGATCATCTGCTGCTCCAAGAAAGTCATAAAAGTAAAAAAGTGATGTTCATTAAAGCGATATAAAAATTTTTTTTTCAAGTTTTTATAATAAAGGACTTTAAGATACAAAAAATCAACAAAAAAAACATGACTATTTCCAGTATTAATCAACAATGCTACATCCTGTATTTATATCAGAACTAATAAAGAGTTTACAAATTTTTTGTTATGATGATTATACATATTAGTTTCACCTATGTTAATATTACTTTCATTCTTTTCAACAAGAAAATCTACAAGATGTAAACTTGTTGTTTATATATTATTTCGAAAGCTTTATTTTTCTTTTATCCTTTTTTCCAAGTTAGTTTCTTTATCTATTCCTAATTTTTTCAAATTACACCAGCTGGCAAACGTCAAGGTAGCAAGAATCTGATGAGAATAAATCAAATTTTCTTCAGAATTGATAAGTTTCTTTGCATTTTGTTTTGTTCGTCCGCATTTCGGATCCTAGAAAGCTTTGCTAAAAGTTTATAACAAAGATAGAAAACCTCTGATAATATTTTCTTCATCAAATCTATTTTTAGAACCGCAACGATACCCTATTTATGCACCTGTAGTTAAAAAAAACAGTTACATTAAACTCAAATGTTTTTACTTTAAAAACACCTCCAACCAAAATAGCATCTTAATCATTCAACCTCTCGTTATTTATAAAATTTTTTATGCAGTTGAACTAAAACCATTTTAAAATTTGCTGGAAATAATAAAACGAGTTTAAAATATTACATGTTTTATGCTTTGTTTAAACCAAATCAGCGTTTAAATAAAACTCGTTACTTTTACTTAACAATTCATAATACAAACCTCCGACCCTGTTTTATTTAAACTTTATAAAACTGGTTTTAAATTTTAAAAAGCTTATCTTTTGTAAATTTTTATCTGAAAAAAAAAAATTATCATATGATTATAAAAATCTATAAGAAAAAACCATATGGTATATTATTAAAAATAATTTACTTAAATGAAAAAAAATTATACCGTACTTATAACCGTAATATTATTTAAAAAACATAACGCGGTGGTAAAATGTAGTAAGGAATCTTAGTCGCTGTGTTTTTCTTTTTTGCGCTCTGTGTCGGCTTAAATTTTAAATTTTTTAAAATTTAAGTTTTAGCGAAATGTTTTCAACTAAGCAATTAAAAACTATTTCTCACACAAATTTCATAAACTAATCTCAACCGAGATTGAATTTTTTTTTTCAAGAGTTATCATGTTTGTTTTTTTTTAAATAAATTTAAAACACTATTTTTGCTCAACAAATTTTCTTGTAATTAAAACTTAATATCCTTTTATAACTCCGAATACTTTTTTAACTGTTTTTTAAACGTTTAATTGAACGGATTAATCAATAAAAAATAGCACAACGATGGTTTAATATCTCTGCGCCCGATCTAAGCTTGAATTTGTTGTCAACATTGTGTCGTCACAAAAATTTAAGTACTCCATTGTATCTTAGTAATGATTTTTGAAATACGCCGAAATATAATTATTAAAGCTAGTTAACAATTGTAAAGTTTTTAGTCGTTTAAGTGCTTGTATAAAGTAAAAAAAAATGTAAAGAAGTTACTAACGAACTTTCTTTTTGGTTAAGTTAGGATTTATTGATGTTTTTGTGGTCTAAGTTTGTTTGCGTTTATTACTACGATTATTAGCGTGGCTTATTTTGGTTTGGTGACCGTTTCGGTGGTGTTTATTTGTATTTATTATTATATATTTTTTTAGTTGAGTTTTTTCTCAGATAATTGTATCTGAAAAGTTAAGTTACAGGAAACTTTATAACAAATTAAAATAACTTTTTATTAAAAGGTTCAGTTTTATTAAAATTTTAAAGCTTAAATTAATTCTTAAAATAAAATTGTCTTGATACATAAAAAATCTTTTATAAATGTCATGCTTATTTGATTGTTGTTGTTGTTACAGTTTTTGAAGTTGTTGTTGTTGTTGTTTCGACCACTGTTCGTGCTAATTGCTGTTTGATTTTTAACAAAAAGAATTTCAAATAATGTGTTGTGTTTTTCAATACTTTTTTAAAAAAGGTTTTTTGTTAAGTGTTAAAATAAATACTTTTTGATTTACAAATATTTATCTGCTTAAATATTTTTTTTTTGTATTACATATTTCTAGTTCATTTTTTCATTAAATAATTAAGTTTAATAATAGAAATCTGAAGGAAAAAAATGGCTGTGAAGAGCTTGCTGGATTTAAGCTTAGATTTAAAGTCCGCTGTACGCAAGAAATTTTCGATTCAAGAGTCTAAATCTCATAGTCCTGTATCCGACACAAAAATTATCACAACACAAAAGTTGTCGTTCAGTACACCTCACGATTTAGTTTCTAATTCTATCGAAGAAATAGAACCAATGAGTTTAACACTCCAATACTTAGGGTTTGCAGAACTTAAGGCTCCGGGTCTTCCTGAAATATGTGTCAAAGTTAACAATATGTATTTAGCAGCAAAACCGTCTCTCAAAACGTTTGATAAAACTCAAGTCACTCTATCTCGAGCAGGTATTACTTTAAAACAAAATAACGAAAACGAATATATTTACAAACCACGACGCATTATTTATTGCGGCGTAGATAAACAACATCAGAGAGTATTTTCGTTTAATTACCAATACGGCTTGCGTGCTGAAAATATACATCTTCACGTTTTAGTTTGCAAGACCAAAGAAGACGCAAGAATGATAGCAAAATATCTAGGTCAAGTATTCAAAATTATTTCAAAAGACGAGCATGAAAAAGATAAGAAAGACAAACAAATGCATTCAGAAGGTTTAACAAAATTTAAAACAAGATCAACTCAAAATATAAATCATAACACAAATAACTATTATCCGAAATCACAAATAAAAGATGGAAGTGCAAGCAAAGAAAACTCTTGCGAAAAAGGTGCTTGCGGCTCAGATTCAGAATGGTCTCCTGGTGAACAACTTATGCCACAGTTGCCAGTTGCCTAGATTTATCGTTCTTGATAGCGAGACCAATGATTGTAACAAAGAGTTATCATGCCTAATATATTGTTGTCGTTCTACGATAAAAAACCATGCTACATAAGTATAATTTATTCGGAATCTTTTACAACAAAAATAACAGTATATATAACACCCAACAAAACAGCAAATATAATGACATAAATTTAACAAAGATAAGTGAACGGCGACAACAAGTAACCATATAAAAGAAAAAAAATGTAGCAAATAAAAGAAATGTAGTACTGCTATCGAAACTTTTCTTTTGACAGTTGTTGTTAGTTTAAAATCAAAATCGGTGAAGGTCACGTGTTACTAATTTCCGATCCATATTGAGAGTTATTCATGCATTTGACTTTAAAGATAAATATTTACGTTTATTAAATCAAAAGCTTCCTTAATAAATGTTCCGATATAATTACAATAAAAGAGAACTTTAAAGAGTTTTTTTTTCCTAAATTATTATTTCTAAATTACTAAAAAAATTTTATTAATAATTTAAATTATTGATTCAAAATTTATTTTTAACATAAAAATACATACACATGCATACATATTGCGACAGAAATATCAAGTTTGTTGACATATTTGTTGTTGACAGAAGTTTTTAATCTTTTTTTATGCTTAAAACTTTATTTCGGTTCATGTTACCTTAATTTTATTTTTTAGATCTGACATACTACTTCATAAATTTTGCCTTTGTTTTCAAATTTATTATATTTCTAATCAAAAATTTCCTAAACATCTCAAAGATTTTTTTGTTTTACCTCTATCATTAATGAGTTTTTTACCACTATCATTAATGAGTTTTTACCACTATCATTAATGAGCTTTTTACCACTATCATTAATGAGTTTTTACCACTTTCATTAATGAGTTTTTTACCACTATCATTAATGAGTTTTTACCACTATCATTAATGAGCTTTTTACCACTATCATTAATGAGTTTTTACCACTTTCATTAATGAGTTTTTACCACTATCATTAATGAGTTTTTTGATAATAAAAGCATATTCACTTAAGATAACGGTGTACTACCTAAAAACTAGATTTGTTTTGATAGAAATAATATATTTTTATTACGTAAAGAAATAAAGCATAAATATCCATTAAATTTTTTATCAAAGTTGGTAACTACATGAGCACAATAAAAAATTATTGTTTTATTTTTATATTTCATTTTTTTCTATATCGCTTTTTTCTTTCTACATATGAAATCAGCAATTTACTTTTCACTTCATAATTATCAAAAATTAATCAGTAATTTCTATAAACTAGTTAACTATTATAAAGATTTGCTTAGCGATTAATAAATAAAGAGTTTTAACGATTTATAAATAATTCATAAAAATACACGTTTTATCGAAAATAGCATTTGAGAACAATATCCAACATTCCGAAGGATATTCTATATTCCCGGTTTGATATTGTAATTGGTACACTTTTATTCTGTCGTAAATAACCAAAATTAAGTAACTTGAAATATCGTTTTTGAGTGCTATTTTGAAACGTAGCATTAATAGTAACTCTGCTTGGTTTCAAGTAATCTGGGGTATAAATTACGTATTTATTTGTGAAGTATAACTTAGCTAAGAGACAGTTACTCTCACAGTAAACTAAGTTTGTAAAGTTTAAAACTAAGTTTGTAAAGTTTAAAACGTTAAAATATTTTTTCAAGTTACTGTGTTTTGGCTTTTTACGGAAGTTCTAAACTTTTACTTTGATCATATTTTTTTAAATTAAAAATTATGCAAAAAATAGCATTTATTCAATGTCAGGTTTTGCATAGCAATCTCCTCTTTAAGCACCACAATGTTTAGAGAGTTTAACCAGAGTGTTTATTATTCTTTGGCATGTTTCAAAGTTTTTAAAAGTTTGAAAGCTTATTTAAAACATCAATTCAAAAGTTTTAAATTATAAAAAAAAAATAAAAAAAAAAAACTTAAATTATAAGTTATATACTAGGTTATAAATGGTTAAAAACAACATAAATATCAATAAAATTTTTATTAAAATTTAAAACTTTACTGTAAAATATAGTCTATCAAAAAAATTTTTAAATTATAAATAAAAAAAAAAAAAACTTAAATTATAAGTTATATACTAGGTTATAAATGGTTAAAAACAACATAAATATCAATAAAATTTTTATTAAAATTTAAAACTTTACTGTAAAATAGTCTATCAAAAAATTTTTGCCATTTTTGCCAAATTTGCCAAGTCTCGTTACTTGCAAACTTTAACTTTATTCATTAATTTTACTTTTCATATCATGTCTTTCCATATACTAACAAATGGTTTTTCTCCAAGTATCTTAAAGTTTTTATAAGAAGTTAAAAAATAATAAAGTAAACTAACGCCTAAAACGTTTAAATATAGTGGTCATCTCAAACTGCTGCTTTATTTAATATACCTGCTAATTATCAAGTCTACGATGTTAAAAATAGTTTTTTGTAAGTTTTTGTCTATCGAAAAAAAATTTAGTTTTTTTTAGCATCCTCTCATATACATCAACATCAAAATTTAAGGTTTATAACTTAATCACAGTTATTCTTTGGTTCATATGTGCATATTTTGCAGCATATTTTGATGTTTGTGATAAAAAACTGCCAGGCATTGAGCAAACTCCAAACATTTCTATTTTCATTGATAATTTAAAATATCATACAATAATCTCTTAGGGTTATAAAATTATGACCTTATATAGTTCGACCCCCCCCCCCAATTTGAGGGGTTGCCATTTTTATAAGGTCATTTTTTTAAACGCCAAGAGATTTTTCATGAATTTTAAAAATAATCGATTAATTATAAGTTTAGTTGACAATAGCAATGAAAATATCGTATCGTGTTGTTTGACAACAGGTATTGCCAAAATTTTAGGACTTTTTTGCTCCTAGGCTCTATTCACCGCAAATATATGCAAAGTATCCTTTTTTGATGTAAGTATATACATATAAGTGTTTGGAGTTCGCTTCATGTCTGGAGGTAATCTCTAACATCAAAAAATGCTGCATCGGCTCCTGATGTACACAACTACACCTTTTCTCAATGTGTTTCTAATTATAGTAGAGCATACCACTTTTGATCTACCTGAAGGCATTTGGTACAGAAAAAACATCTTTTTAGACCAAATGCTAACTGAGTTAGGCGGAGCCTTTATACGTAGAAATTATGGTTTGATGTTTTAATTCTAAATATTTTTTTAAATTGTTAATAATAAAAAAAATAACAGAGGTTGGGGTTAATATACTTTGTTTCATAAATATTTATTCCTACTCTTTTCAGTTTAATAAAAACTACAGTTGATTTGAACTTAAATAAATCTCTTAAAAATATGAAATTCTGCTGTTCAAACTTAAATAAAATATTTAGAGTTGTTCTCATTTATTGTTTAAGAGTCTGAGAAATATAGGCAAAGTGATGTCTTCAAATCATTTTTAGATATTTTGTAAAAAAATGATGAAATTAGGTCACTTTTACATTTTTAAAAAATTGTGCCCATGCAAGACCCTGAGATAGAGTAAAATGAATTTTTGCGTTTAATGCGCTTTTTTAAATTACCCATAAGAATCGCGGCTTTAGGTCTGTGCTCAAGCAATTAAAAGCCTCCAAAAGTCCTCGATAACGTCTTATTTTGCCAAAAATTTTCAAGCTATGCCAAAAAGAGGAAAAAAAATAAGTCTAATGATGTCTTCTTGTTCAATAATAATGGTTAAAAAAAAAAAAAAAACTTTTTTTTTAAATTTTTCAACCAATAAATTTACACATAGTTACGTTATAACTACATGACATAATATAATGCAACGTAAAAAATATAACATAATAATACCACGTACATATCATAATAAAAAGTGGTTTAACAAGTATAACTAAGTATAGTGTACATTAATAGTGTTTCTTATCATAAAAATTACCAGTAAACAAAATAAAAGAATAAAAATAAGAAAAGTAAAAAAAAAAAAAACAAGAAATTTTTTGGTATTTTAGATATATACATGTTGTTGTAAAGGAAAACTCAAAGTCTATGAAGACTTATCATCGAGTACCTCTTTAAATGGTTAAATAAAGTCTAATTTATTTTTATACATAGTTAAAAGTGATTAAACAATAGACAGTCAATGATACACATAAATATTTTAGTATAAATTTTAATGTTAAGTTTAATACATGTTGATATAGTTGTTGATACTAAGTATAAGGTGTTTTAATTTATTTTTCAAGTTGGCAGGATTATTTAATACTTTAAGCTCTATATTTTTGGATATTATTTTGTTATATAGGTACGGACCCCGATAGGAAATAGAAAACCGTGAGAATTTTGTTGTTTTTTTGTTATATATCTATTAGAGTTTACTTAAAAGAAGTTATCTAAAAAATACCTTGGGACTAGTCCAAGTTTGTATTTAAGCATAAATAGTACATTTTGGTAGATGTTGATTTGGTAAACATTTAGTGCATTCAAGGTTTTTAGTAAGAGTTCAGCATGGGTGAGTTTATCTTTATTATAAACTAATCTTGATGCATGTTTTTGGCTTATATAAATAGTACTCAATTTGAATTTGTATGTACTTGCCCATGTAGCGTACGTAAGATAACTTTGGATGTAAGAAAAATAAAGTGATTTAAGATTATGTTGGGACAAATAAGAAAAAATATATATATTTTACTGGTGTATATAGATGTAAGCAACCTTTGTTGATGTACTCTGTCTCGCTGATGTTGTTTTGACAAAAGTTAAAAATGATTTCCATTGTTTAAAAAATCTTCATGAAAAGTCAGATAATGCATCATCTTATAATGGAAACATCTACTAAGAAGCCCTTTATAAGGTTTGCAAAGCAAAACAATTATTTCTTAAAAGGTATGATTACAACGAGCCTTCACATTAAAAAAAATCAATGAAATTGAGAGTAAGCAGGAGCAAAATTTCCAAAAACCTTGAAGTGTTGATAGAAGTATGAACACTCTCAGGTTTTGTACACAATTTGGTTGCGCTGAATCAATTTTTGATAATGAATCATTTGAAGAATATATGCTATCAGCAAACGTCCAGTTTTTATTCTGTGAAGAAATCTATGGTAAACTATCTTATATCAACAAAATGAAAATCTTGAACCTAAGCTAATCAGAAATTATCTTCTTGTATCTCGTTAACTTTTATTACTCCATCTATGGAGTAAACACTTTTTGTTTACTCCATAGATGGAGTAAACAAAAAAGAGCAGGAAAACTGGTAAACATTTTTATGAGTTTAATCAAACTGATGACGAGATTGATGCAACTGATGATGTGAGAACTCAAAATAACGATGATGATTTAAACGACAATATTCTGATGGCAAAGGGGTTAGCTGCTTAATCTGGTGATTTAGTTATTATTGGACATAATATGCAATAATTATGTATTAATATCATCATTAATTTAACCTTTATTTTTTTC